CGGTGTGGAGCGAGGTGACCAGGAGCTCGGTGCGGAGTGTGATGACCAGGAGCTCGGTGACCAGGGGCTCCATGCGGAGCGAGGTGACTGGGGATCGGTGTGGAGCGCGGTGACCAGGAGCTCGGTGCGGAGTGTGGTGACCAGGGGCTCGATGCGGAGCGAGGTGACCAGGGGCTCGGTGCGGAGCGTGGTGACCAGGGGCTCAGTGTAGAGTGTGGAGGCCCCCCCCCCCCCCCCCGCAACAAATGCTGGTCTAAAGACAATGATGTCTATCTTTTGAACTTTGCTCCTTGTTTTTCTGACCAATGGTTATACTGTGTATAGCTGTGATGCAACATTTTTTTCTTCGTTTTTCTGTTCGGTAACTAAGGATTTTATCTAGATACCTTTGTACATAAGATGGGGCTGTAAGTGGCGACTTATAAACTTTTCACTGTACTCATTTTAGTACATGTGACAATAAAACCAATTCAATTCAAAAGCATCGCACTGCAAGCCCAACTGACAGTCCTAAAATGGTTACCTGTTATATTTTCACACATTCAAGTTAAGGCAATAAATGTTGTCCATTTCCAGAATATCGAATGTGGATACTGTGTTGTGAGTTTTGCAGGCACAGTCTGATCAGATACAGTCAGTACCATGCTTGTAGTGAACAGCTGAAGGATATGCTGTTTGATATCATCTGCCAACCTCTGATCTGTACAACCTATCTGACATCACATAGCGTCGTAGAGCCATAAAGATGCATGGTGTGGAAACAGACCCTTCGGTCCAACTTGTCTGTGCCAACCAGATGTCTTAAACTGATGTAGTCCCGTTTTCCAGCATTTGGCCCATATTCCTCTCAACCCTTTCTATTCATGCACCCATCCAGATGCCTTTTAAATGTAGTAATTGCTCTCGCCTTCACTATCTTATCTGTCAGCTTCCTCCATACATGCACCACCCTCTGCATGAGAAAAGTTGCTTTCCCCTCTCACCTTAAACCTATATCCTCTAGTTTGGACTCCCCTACCCTGGGAAAAAGACCTTGGCTGTTCACCCTATTCATACCCCTCATGATTTTATAAATCTCTATGAGATCTCCCCTCAGCCTCTGATGCTCCATGGAAAAATGCCCCGGCCTATCAGTCTCTCCCTATAGCTCAAATCCTCCAATCCTGGCAACATCCTTGTAAATCTTTCAAGTTTAACAACATTGTTCCTATAGCAGGAAGACCAGAATTGAACACAGTATTCTAAAAGTAGCCTTACCAATGACCTGTACATGTGCAACTTGACCTCCCAACTCCTACACTCAGTGCTCTGACCAGTGAAGGCAAGCATGCCGAACACCTTCTTCACCATCCTGTCTACCTGTGACTCCACTTTCAAGGAATTATGCACCTGCACCCCTGTCCTGATTTGCCTTTCCAAAATGCAGCACCTCATATGTATCTAAATTAAACTCCATCTGCCACTCCTCAGCCCACTGGCCCATCTGCTCAAGATCCCATTGTACTCTGAGATAAACTTCTTCACTGTCCATCAATTTTGGTGGACCAGGACAAGTCACAAACTTTATCTGTGTTTTGCACACCCTTGGTCAGCAGAGGTGCTTTGCCTATTTTAAATATCTTCTCTGCAGCAACAGTTGTGATTTGTGTTATGTGACTCTGTTTTTGGGATTAAGGGGGTATTGTTTTCATTCTATCTTATAGTTTAGATTTTAATTAGTGTTTGCCACTTGTTTAAAGATAAGTTTTTTGTGCTGTAATGAACAGATTATTCATTAAAGAAGTCTGGTAAATGTCTATTTTAATTATTTTAATTCACGTGTTCGAATGTGCTATGATACAACTCTGGGGCAATTGGAACTTAAAACCAAACCTTCTGTCCCAGAGGCAGAGACATCACCACTGCGCTACAAGACCCTTATAGATTTCAAATCCATTGTCTTAACCACTCGGCCATGATTACAAATCCTTAAAGAAACTTGTATTCTGGGTCAAGAAAAAGTATCAATTGGCCATTTGGGTGATTGAATCAACATGTTTATAACACATCATTCAAGTTCAGAGGAAGATCACTATTTAGGTGTTATGTTTAAACCAGACCTTGGAAATTCTTGATACATTGGTTGGTGAGCTAACTCTAACCAGCAATCTCTTTCCTGGGAAGGGCTGATCATAATACCATTGAATTTCATGTTAAAGATTGAAATTGACAGACTTCAATCACAATATACTCTTAATCTAAAACATTATCAATTACATAGGTATGAGGGGAGAACTGACCAAGTTTGAATGGGTAAATTGACTAACACCATACTTCAGCAAACAAACTGTGTGAAAGATTTGAAGAGGCTATTCAAAATAATCAAAACAAATTCCAATGTAATGTATCCCACAGTGCAGCGATGGATGCTGACCCTCAGCAGTATTTGGTTGCCTTAGCTTTCAAAGTTTCACTAGATGTTGTGATTTTTCATTTCCCTCAGTGGGGTAGGTAAAATGCCTCTCATTAGAGCTGCCACAGTGTTAGATACTCTGGAAGAATGTGGAGATCAAAGGAATTAAATGCATTAGCATTCAGCTAATCTCTCCAGGCTCCATAAGATATTCAGTCCAAGATGCAAGGAAACAAGAAAGGGTAAGTATAACACCATTAGCACAGGCTCACACTCCAACTGCAAGTGAAAAAGCCACCTTGAGACTAGCATTGAAAATTAATCCTGATTATCAAAAACATCCATTTAATTAGACCATCAGTGAAAAGTAGTGCTGCATTTCTGGCAATCAGTTCCCATGATTTCACCCCTTCGTTAGCAGACACTTATATCTAATTTTGGAACCGACAATTTACCAAAGTGAAACACTGTTTGCTACACTTTAAAAATGAAAGCAATACAGTATATCACAATCAATAAGAGTTCTTATGACATTAAAGAAAGTTGCAAGTAAACAGGAAATATTCATATAATAATATTTTTACTATTTACAAATATCACCATTGCAATTATCTTACTAATGAACACATTTATGTTGGTATTGATTTTAAACCTCACCCCAATCTTATGGATAAGAGAGAATTCATGGGGGTGTTGGGGGGATAACAGTATCAGATTGGGCAACTCAACCACATTCCCACTCAACACAATGTTTACAATAAAAACCGAAAGAACTGCGGATGCTGTGAATCAGGAACAAAAACAAAGTTGCTGGAAAAGCTCAGCAGGTCTGGCAGCACCTGTGAAGGAAAAAACAAAGTTAACGTTTCGGGTCCAGTGACCCTTCCTCAAAACTGGACCCGAAACGTTAACTCTGTTTTCTCCTTCACAGATGCTGCCAGACCTGCTGAGCTTTTGCAGCAACTTTTGATTTTGTTACTGTGACAATGTTTACAAATGGCGATTCAGGCCCCAGACAAGGCTTTTGCTAAAGGCAAGCAGGGTCTATATAACATGCAGAAGTTGCAGTGATTTTGTGGTCTCCTGTTTGCCAGGCAGCCAATCGGAGCAGCTGGCAGTCATGTGGTGGTCTAAATGGAATCAAGTGATCTCCTGTCATTTGTGTGCCCAATCTGTTTGGGTTCTTCGCCTCTTATTCAGCTCCCCAGCACTGTCCCACCTCTCCATTAATACTGGGATCCTTAAGTTAGATTGCAGTAAAAAATCCCATCTTAGATCTTACATTTGACGTTGGTGAAAGGTAATATAAGAGTAGTTCTGATTCAGTAATACTGTCTATCAAGAAGGGGAGGGTGGCTGGTGAGGGTTTTGTAATGAACTGTCCCAAACAAATGTGCCAAGCCTGTTTAGTTTCTTTTAACAGCCACAAGCCCTTTTTTTGAAGAATTGGCAGATCATTCAGCAAGTTATACATAATTGTTCTGCTATAAAGAGCTAGGAACTAATAAGCTGGGAGCTAAGAATTAATCGTTACACTAGGCCACATTTATAGCTGCACTAGAGAGTCATTGATGTTTGTCAGCACCAGGCTAAACCTGCTCTTTTGTACAAGGAGCAGTGTGGCAAATATTAAGCACTCTCACCTTCCCAAGTTTAAAGTGTGATTATTTCAAACATCTGGGAACGAAAGCCAACCAGAACATGTAGGACACAGCCTATAAACCCAATGTGAAAGCTTCAAAATATGCTTTGGTCTTATGGTCATTGCAGCACAATACTTCCATTTAGTTAATTGTTCATCTGATGAGAAACAGGAACAAAAGAGATCAACAAATGAGTTGAGTAAGGGAGTCACATACAAAATGTAATCAGCTACAAAAATGTGTATCTAAATTTATCTAATTTCTTAAGCACAGGGATGTCAAATGAATGCTGTGTCACATGCTTGCTACTTTTAAAGACCTGACTCGTCTTAAAGTAAACTCACAGACTTCCCTGAAACTTTGCATTTTTTTTCAATTTAAAAATGTCTTCTGGTTATTTGATTGGCCCTACTACGTACCTCACGTTTTTAGAAAATATCTCAAACATACCCTTACATTTTGTTTATGTAAAAAAAATCATAAAGCTTCACTGCTTCAGTCTAGCTGATGAACCAGACACAGCTGTTTGACTGACTCCCAGTCACAGTGGCTTCCTGCAACCTATTTACAAACACGAGCTTCTGAATCAGGCAGCTCCACCTGTACTGAAGCTTGGCACCTTATCCAAAAGCAGGTGACCCTTTAGAAAGGGACTGATGACAGAACCACATGGATTTTTCTTAATGGTTCATATGCAAAATGATCCACAGGCTGATTCAAGGAATGTATAATAAAAGGCCATAGCAAAAACATTCAGCACTTAGTTCCAGAAAGTACCAATACATTGTCATCTGTCTCTTAGCACATCCAGCACTTATAAGTCTGTGCAGCTGACCAGAGTTCATTAGTCTATGACCATCCAGAATTGTTAAGAATCCTTGACTGTTAGTATCAACCATGGCATCTCAATGTTTTGACAGCCAGAGACAGCCAGCTCAGTACCAGCTTCTTTCCCACTGACCTACCTTTTCCTCCACATGACTGTAGCCTGTGCATAAACTTCCAGCAGTCTTCTTTCCCTTGTTTTAAAAAAAAATCCGCAGTGACTACGGTAGGATTTCTGTAAGAGGAGAAAAATACTCCGTGAAGATTACGAAGAGCCAGGAGGTCAAAAGGAACCATCTGTTGAACCTAGAGCAGTTCAGTAACTCAGTGCACGAAAGGGGAAAAGAGGACAACAGCAAAGCAAATGACCGCAGAGAGAAGCATGGCCCAGGGAAAATGCTTTGTCTGAACAAAATACAAGAGAACAATTGTTTCCTACTGGTTTGAACAGACCCTCACTCTTCAAGGTTAATTGGCATGGATTCTGGCCAATGTCATTAGAACGGCATTACAGCAGTAGGACCTCACAATGTGTATATGACGAGCAAAGTATTGTCAGGAAGCAGCCAGAACTACTTGTTCAGCACAAAATATAAATGAACCTTTGGCTAAAATACAGTCATGTGCAGGCACTGAGAAGTTTTTCAGAAAGAGCTTCAGAAAGTTATAAACAGCGTATAGCCACCTGTGCAACAACTTCTCAGTGCCTGTACATGACTGTATTTTAGCCAAAGGTTCCTTTATTTTTGTACATGTAGATTTCCACATACATTCAGAAGCAATCAAATACACAAAAAAACTTGCTGTTTTTTATTACTCATTCTGGTGTTGCCAACACAGACCAGTTCTGGGTTAATTTAGTCAGGGTGTGCCTTAATCCATGAACAAACCAAGGTATAAAAATAATCTGGAATCAAAATACACCCTAATCATCTCCTTTTCATATCTGTCTGTGTTGTTGCCAAAACAAGGCTTGGAGCTGTTCTTAAGAACCGGTGTGAAGGAGCTGATGTAAAATATACACTTAAGTAGGAAGCATCAAACAACGTTAATACAGACACCTTGGGTGGAATCTTCTCCCCTTAGAAGATGCTCAGCATCAGGACCATACAGGAGTCTTGATTCCAATGGTGTCCAAATGCCAACCATTTGTGTGATTAATTGATATTCCACCTCTGGGAGTCACAGCCAATTATAGGCTGACGAGAGTGCCAACTGAGAGATGAGGAGAGGAGGGTACTGCTGATGTAGGTGGGGAACTGCGAGGGCATTTCAAGATGGTGCTGTCCTCTGAAGATTTCTTCAGTTATTAAAACTTTTGGTGATGGCCATAGCTGCAACAAGGTGTCGGTGTGGAGGGGAACTCAACTACCCAAGACCTCGACCCATGGCTGCAGCCTTCTTTCATTCATGGCTGTTGGAGCTAGGGTACAACAGGAACTAAAAGAGTCCTTTACTGATTGAATTGTCCTGTTGTTTTCTTTGCAGTTAAGTTCATCCTTAGAAGCCTCATGGAAAGAGATAGACAGACAGACAAAGGATTCCTCAACCAAGATGTGAACTACAGGCTTTATTAAATGATTGCAATTTTAGTTTTAATTTCATTCAATGTTTGTAGAGACCAAATATAAATGGAATAAAGAATCCCTGCTTCATAATCTTTGTGCACTCCTTATGTTTAAATCTCACGTGATGCATGTTTCTTTGTTTCAGTGTTAGGAGTTGGCTGGATTCCTCAGCACAGGCATCAAGTCATGGTGAATGAGGTCTAAAGGTGCCTGGCCAAGATGGAGCAGATACTGCAGAAGCTGAAACTGGTAATGTCTGTGAGGGAGGCTCCAGCTGCCTTTGGTACCTTATGAGTGAGATTCAAACCAGACCCAGAGAGGTAGATCTAGGTATTTATCAGATCAGTGCAATCCATTCTTATGCTCTTGCTTCCTTCAGTCAGCCAAACCCCTCAAACCTTTCGAAGTTGAGTAACCATTAGATTCACTAAATTAAAACCACTAAAATCACTAATAATTACCACAAATTGCTGATGAGTTCTGCTTTCATGAACTCTCAGCTTTTATCTCAGCTCCTTCCCTCCATCAAGAAGTGGGGATGTTTATCAATGATTGCAGAATGTTTCGCACCTTTCATATTCCTCCGATACTGAAGCAGTCCATGTTCAAATGCAACAAGATCTGGACAATATCCAGGCTGGGCTGAAAAGCGGCATGTACCATCACGTCACACAAATGCCAGGCTATGTCCATCTCTAATAAGAGTCAATCTAACCACTGCCCCTTGACATTTAATGGGGTTACCATCACTGAATGCCCCACTGTCAACATTTTGAGCATTACTCAATGAGATTCACCACATAAACACAGTGGCTACAAGATGCCAGGAATACTCCAGTGAGTAACTCAAACCTAACTCCACACAACCTGTCCACTGTGTGCAAGGCACAAGTCAGGATTGTGATGGAATACTCCCCACTTGCCTAGATGAGTGAAGCTCCAACAATACTCAAGAAGCTTGACACCATCCAGGACAAAGCAACCTGTTGGATTGGCACCTCAACCATAAATATCTACTCTCCACCCCACCAATGCTCAGTAGCAGCCGTGTGTACCACCGACAAAGATGCACTGCGGTAATTCACCAAAGATCTTTAAACAGCACCTTCCAAACCCATGACCATTACCATATGGGATAAGAACAGCAGATACAATGAGAATAGCACCACCTGCAATTTCCTCTCAAAGCCACTCACCACTCTGAATTGGAAATATATCACTATTCCTTGAGAGTAATTTGGTTAAAAACCTGGAACTCTCTTCCTAACGGCATTGTAGGTCTACCTACAGCATATGGACAGCTGAGATTCAAGAAGGCAGCTCACCACCACCTTCTCAAGGGCAACTAGTGACAGACAATAAATGCTGGCCCAACCAGAGACACTCAAGTCCCAGGAGTGAATAAAATAAAGTAAATTTGAAAGCTACCTGAATTATAATGTGGGCCGCCTTGATTTGAGGTGTTGCACTATAACTATGAGCCTCTAGGATAATTGACAACTAAAAACACTGATGAGTAACAATGTGTCCACATGCTTAACTGCAATTTGTTCTTCAAAGAAAAGTTTGTCTAATGCTGTTCCATAATACTCCTGTGAGGCACCTTGGCTCCGTTCTTTTCTTCTTAGGCAAACAAAAAAATACAAAATAGACTTGCTTCCCCTCTGGTGGGATGTGTTTGAAGATGTTCGAAGAACTCCAATATGTGATCCGTATACTCTGTCACATGCAGGATTGGTGGTGCTTGGAGGATCATGTAGGTGAGTTGTTTAGAAGTTTGAGTTCTTGAACCTGTTTCTAGGCCAAAGAAACTGCCATCAATTTTCAGTATGAAAGAGGGTTGAAAATCTAGGTGGCCAAGGAGAGTGATGAAAGAAGCCTCTGACTCATTGACTACATCTCTGCATTATCCTGATAAAGTCCCTTGAGGTATTTGTTGTCTTCTTGAATGTACCATCTCCATTTTGTTCAGTCACAAGCCCGGATCTTTCGTAAGCTTTTGAGGATGATTTGACTCCTTGTTGGGTGCTTTGAGGACATCCCTAAAGGTTTTCTGCTATCCTCCTGGGAGTCCCCTGTTTTGACCAAGTTTGGAGCATAGCAGTTGCTTTGGGAGCCTGATGTCAGACACGTGAATGTTTATGTTCAACAGAGCTGCTTTTGAGTGATTAGCAATTCAACACTGAACATATTAGTTTGAAGATTCCGCTATGTTAATAGGTTTATTACAGCTAACTTGCTATAACAATGCAAGTTGAGGTCGTTAACGACACTCATAGTTATGAAAATTATCAGAATGAAGTCCCTTGGCAAAATGTCAAAGAAAGTTTTCTGATGGCATGTGAAGTAGATTTCTAAATGGTATCATATGAAGACCACCCAACAATGTTAAGACAGCTCCATGGCAACAAAATGTTCTCGGAATGAGGTAGTTTAATTAAGCCGTCTTGTTGAAAGCATCTTACAAGGCTTAAAATTTGTCCTTCTGAGTGCTCTGGAATGATGCAAGGTTTTATATTCAAGTATACACAGTGAGTGACCTTGTCAGCTGTCAGTTGCTTGGATAAAACCTGAGTCCCCATAGTTGGCTGATGCAGTCAGATATAAAAAGCTGGAAGGTACCTTTTCGCACCTTGAAACCAGTGTCTGAGATTCATTTACCTCCTCCCTCCCCAGTATCCAAGAACCCAAACATACCTTCCAGGTGAAGCAACACTTCACCTGCACTTCCCAGAATCTAGTCTACTGCACTCGCTGCTCACAATGTGGTCTCCTCTACACTGTGGAAACAAAGTGTAGACTTGGCGACCGCTTGACAGAACATCTACATTCTGCTCGCAAAAAAGACCCTGAACTACCTGTTGCCTGCCACTTTAACACATAACAGTGCTCCCTGGCCAACATCTCTGTCTCTGGCTTGCTGCAGTGTTCCAGTGAAGACCAACGCAAGCCCACCTCTCTTTTTCTGCATATGAACTGACGTTTTCCCAGCCACTATCAGTTCTGAGGAAGGGTCACCGGACCCAAAACGTTAACTCTGTTTTTCCATTCTCAGATGCTGCCAGACCTACTGAGCTTTTCCAGCAATTTTGTTTTCTTTCCTGATTTATAGCATCCGCAGTTCTTTCAGTTTTTATCTGAGATTCTTGAGACTTCTATACACAAGAGGTTTATACAGAATTTCCCCAGTTGGTTGCAATTGCTGTAGGTTCATTTGCAACAGTAACTCTGGGGGCAAATTGGAAAAAGGTGCAGTTGGGTGCAATCAGAGCTGGCTGTGTACCTCCGAGCTTGGATAAGATGTTTCGAAAGTTCAACAGTGAAGTAGTCCTTAAATTTTCTATTTGTATTGATAGCCATAAAAATGAGGAGAAGAAGCAACATAAACTAAATTGTACAAATCAAAGGGAAAAGAGAAGCTGCTGGACCTGGAGGTTCATGTACATAAATAATGGAAAGTGGCAGAACAGGTTAATAACGCTGCATTGAAACAAATGAAATTCTGGTTGTTATAAACAGAAACATAGGGTTGGATTTTTACATCCCCAAAATGTCAGGAACAGGTGCTGCAATCAGCAAATTGGAGGCCGCTTTGAATTTTCCCTCAATAAGAGCCTAACATGAACTTCCCATAGTCAGGAAGAAATTCGTGTTAGCTTCAGATTGT